CTTCATGACTGCAACCTGCTTTTCCACCTGCCTCTTGTCCTGGCCCAGGTGGAGAGGAGGAGCAGGTGCCAGTGCCTCCCTGCTCCCTGGCTCTCCACCAGTCAAGCAAGCCAAGATGAGAAAGACGATGAGCTGAAATAGTGGCTAGGAACAATGGCTGTGAGAAGGCAGGCTCAGGGAGGGGAGTGCCACTGAGGATGTTTTGCGCAAGGACTCTCAAAACCCCAGGGGCTGTTACTGTAAGCACTGAAGACATGTGAAAAAAACACAGAAACCTTTAGTCATGACTGGAACTGGAGGAGGCTCTATCTGGTAGCTCTGGTTTAGGTAGGTAGTTTGTTGCTATATCCCACAAGGGTTCTTCTTGACCTTTTATCCCGTGTCTTTTACACAAACGTACCCTGGATGCACACCTTAACGAGGTAAGAGGGTTAGGATTAGGGTTAGCATTGGAGTTAGGGAGTTTTTTTAAAGAGAGCATTCAATAAAACAGGATAACATAGACTCTCTCTCTCTCTCTCTCTCTCTCTCTCTCTCTCTCTCTCTCTCTCTCTGTGTGTGTGTGTGTGTGTAGAGAGAGAGAGAGATTATGAGAACATGCAAGATAGTTTACCTGAGTAGAATAATGATGTTATACTACCAAGTATGCTGATCACAACCAGTTCTGTGCCCAGAAGAGGAGGGGAGAAGAGTGTAGGGACAGCTGTTTCCCCTTCTGTTCCATGACAGAGAAACCCCTTTTTGATTCTTGCTATAGACAGAACCCCTGAAGGAAAAGAAGGTTGTTTACCCTGGCATAAACCCTCATGCAAGCCCTAGAATCAGCAACAGATCAGAGTGAGATCTCCTTGCCCTCAGCTGTAGGAAATCTAAAGGTAGGGAGCCCAGAAACAGGTGACTGAGGACAGAGGAGAGAGATGGGAGGAAACAGGTCAGATGACCTTCAACTGGATGAAGGGGAAGCTTGCCACAAGGAGGACTGTGGGATGGGATCCTCCTCTCAGGAGGAAAAGAGAAAGAAAATATGCAATGAACAGTTATGGGGAGAAAACAATGGAAAGGCTTGGGAAGCAGAGGTACTCACTGAAATAGGACTGCTAAAAGATTCAGGCTGGAGTATACAGAAACTTGAGGAATGACATCACCAAGCCAGGTGGAAAAGAACTTGGGCACAAAACCACATGGGAGCCAGGCCAGGAGAGGGCAAAAAGGAACTTTGGAACCTGTATGGATTGTGGGTCAAGGAAGAGAACTCGAATTTTCAAATTCAGAGGGATTCATGCCTTGGTGCAGCATCTGCCATCACTATGACATGAAATGCCGCATTTGGAGAAGTTCAAAGCATTGGGGCTGCCACAGAGTCTAGACCCAGATAGTTTTAGGTTTCTGCAATCTTCAAGTGCTACTGGAGAATCCGTTGGGTTGTTCTGAGCCAATTAGCCAATTAGTTTCAGAAATAGACATGAATGAGTAGCATCCTACTCTGCTATGCAGACTTATCTCCCAGTATCTCTCCACAGTTCTCTCTTTCTCTTTCTCATTCTCTCTCTCTCTCTCTCTCTCTGAAGAAACCAAACTGTGGTTCAAGAAATCCAGTGGGAAATATTTCAGGCACAGTCCTATGGGATGTATTTCATATAAAGTACATCAGTGACCCCTAATGGGCTTTGTGAGTCACTACATAGTATATCCAAGTCTTTTTCTAAGCCTGTTAGGTATCATGGAACTTTGGACCAGAGTCCAACAGCCATCAGCACCATTTTACTTTGCAATAGGCGCACTTCAAATATTTAAACACGGATGTGACTTAATGGGCAAGTTCACATGACAAGTCACCCTGCAAATAAGCCAGATGGTGTGAATTGTCCATGGAAAAGTCCAGGGTGTTCCTTAACATTTTGGCTTATCATAGGTTATTCTCCCCATCCTTCTCCCAGTCCTCCCAGTACCTCCTCTGCTCCAGTTGCTCTGCTAACCCTGTTTTGCTCACCGGCTATTTTGTTTTCTGAGCTCCACGCTGCTGCCACTGCAGCCTCTCCACCAATGGCTAAATGGCACTTGGAGAATTTTTTTTTTTTGGTGGGGTGGGGGAGGACAGATAGATGCAGATTTCATGACTGTATTATTTCCCCATCCAAAAATAAATGCTCACATTTGACATTTTTGAAAAAGAATGCTTTTTAAAGACACCTATCAAAAGTACTAAAAAAAAAGGAGGCTGGATATAGATCCCTTTCTGGAGCACCAAGAGGCTCAGGAAAGTGTGGAAAAGCTGGAGGGCATGGGAAACCGGCAGGGCAATGTTGACAAACAACAAGCAGGATCACACTGCTAAGAGAAATACTCTCGCCACCCTCTTTCATTGCTTTGATTTTCATTTGACAGCTCACCAATCGACAGCTGTTAAGTGTGCCCAAAGTAAGCAATATGCCGCTTTGCTTTGTTGATGTCAATGATGCTACCTACTGCACTTTGACATATTGACCAGGACACTGGCCAGGAAAGAGTGCATGTTTCAGGTATCCTAAGTGTGCTCTTGTACACCTGTGATAGATGAAAAAAAATATAGAGAAAATAAAAGTTCAGCTGTGCATATTTCTGCTGCCATTTTTTCAAAAGCGTTCAAAAACCAGTGGTGGTCACTCCAAAGGTGCTATTTGGACACTGGTAGAGTAGGTGCCGCTGGTGGTGATATGGCTGAAATACCAACAGTGAAAGAGCACTTTGCTGCTCTGGCAGAGTAGCTTGCTCTTTGCTTGTTGAGGCCCACAATGGGATTGGTCTGTGTTCAACAACTCCTAGAACAAGTCATGTGTTGTCTGGGTGGCTTGTTGCCGAAAGGAAAACCTCCCTGTGAGAAATGGCCTGGGTCCAGATAACAGTGCAATCCACTGTTATCGAGTTCATGCACAGTGGGTTGCAGTATCATTGAACATCCAATTAATATCAGACTTCCAAATGCCACATTATGTAGATTCAAGAGAATGCACCCATCCTTTTGTTAGCTTCCATAGTAAAGCCTATGTTTTTGCCACCAGATATTAAAATTTAAATGAATGGATCAGTACACCTGATGACCCACAATGCTGAAACTACTCAAACAGCAGCTTGGAAGGCCTATTGCATTTGTTTCTTGGCACTGCAAGTAAATAAATAAGAATTTAAAAAAAGATATTTTCAGGTAACACTACAGAGCTAGTTGAACTACATTCAACTTGATGTATTCAAACTGAGAGAATACAGTAAAGACATCAACAGTACCTCTGTGTATGTTAGTACTGGTAGAAGCAATCAAAAGCAAGCTGTGGTAATGCTGAGAGATTCTACACCAAGTTTGAGACAGCAACTTGTCCTTGAAAAAGATGAGATTAATTTAAAAAATCAAGGTGCTATTTGCTTACTGTCAGTAATTGTCTATGCTACCAAATCTAGCTATCACAAAAATATTTTCTTGACATGGCTTTGTAGGAAACAGTCTAAATTCCACTGGGCCTCTTAGACCTGACATAGAATTATAGGTTCCAGAAAGTCATGGGCAATTCCTTCTCAATTTGTTTCCCCATTCCTGTTCTGCTGCCAAGCTAACAAGCATGACCATTTCAAGACAAAATTATAGCTAGTTTTAAGAGAGGAGAAAGCATTCGGCAATTACATTTGGGTATTATTTATTATAAGCTTCCCAAACTTTGTGGCTTGGGCTGATTTTATACTTACACAAAATGTATATAGGGAGAAGAACACTCTGGCAATGAAGTTCTCTTCGGAGTTCTGCAGCTAACTTCTTTTCCCACTACTGAGAAAAGGTATGTTTGATGTGCTTCTTGAACATGGAAAGAATGCACTTGAATCAAGGGTTGTTTCCAGTGGGGTTCTTCTTCCACAGAACCAAGTGGGAGGCAATAAACCCTTCCCCTCTCCAGTCCCTAAGTGATATCAAAATCACTTCTGGAGGGCTGGGAAATCCACTTTAAAGTGGCAAGGATGCAGGGGAAGCAGAGGAAAAGATATTTAATCCCCAGTGTTAAATGAAAAGGAGAGTATGTTTCATTGTCAAAATGGCTCAAAAAGAAAGCATGCCAACCGCCTTCTCTATGTGCTACAGTAACATGTGAGGGGCTTCCCTGTGGTGCATATGGGGGGTGCAGCAGAGGCACCCCCCCCTTAGGGCAAAGCTGACCACCTGTTTCTTGCCCCTGCCCCTGAAGTGCAAAGGAGCTTCCCCCTGGCATGCACGAAGGTTGGCAGCAGGGGAGTCAGCTGAGTGGCACTGCTCTTTTCCAAATGCCAGGCAGCTCCAGCCCAAAGGGGTCTTTAGGACAGGGGGCAAACTGAGTGGGGTTGCCCCAACAGCTGCTTAGCATGGCACGAGTGGCAACAGGCCCCTCTTGCCAAGCTCTTGCCACAGTGCTTGCAACCACAATGACTTGTGTTTTTCATGTCACAACAAGCCATCTTGGTACCAAGAAACCATACAGATCATTGCTTCTGTTTGTGCCTGCCAAAAACCAAACAGACTATGATGAATTACAATGAGATTTTGATGACACAACAGACCAACAATGATAAAAACCCCCCACGATGGCTTGTTATGCTGTATGACTCTACAGACCTCATGGCTACAACATAACATCCTTGTACTTTTTGGTTCCTCCCATGCTACTTTTCACACTAAGTCCTGGAGAAATCAAAAACCTGATACATGCTTTGTGGCATTTTGGTTGGCCCTAATAAAAGTATTGTCCAACTGTGTATTTAGGTAATTTAGATCTGGACTTAGCCAGGCTTAGAATAAATCCATTGAAACCAATGGAACTTCGTAATGATTAACTTTCTCACTGATTTCTCCTCCACATATATACAAGTCCAGCTGGATCCAACCCAACATCTGCTCACCACCTTGAGTCCTTCTGAGTAACCTAGTGTCTAGTGGAAGTATAACTCTTCCATTGAATGTACAGGTGTGCATAGTTCTTGATAGGATGTAAACATTTAGCTAGACCTGTTTTCTTATATTTTTATTCAAGAACTGAAGGCAAAACACATATTTTTTAAAAATACAGGGAAATCACCTAAATGCTTGTCCAGTTTAAACTTATTGTCCATAAGTTCCTTTCCACTGTTACTGCCCACAGCATTATTACAGTCCTACCAGTGCTACAAAAATGGCAAAATTCATCTAGCCAATACTATAGAAAGCCACACATTGTAGGTGTGCAGAATGTATAGGCACATTGTGGTAGCAGAAATAATACATTTCAATTGTGCATCTTTTATTAGTTGAAACTAAATGATCCAAGAGGTATACCAAGACCAGCCATACTTAAAATGCACTCAATTATTTAACTCCAGAAACCTGAAGATACCAGGAAAATAACTGGACACTGCTTTATCAGACAACTTGCTTAGCACATAGAACAAAGTCTCAGGCACTAGGAAATAAAAGTGGCAATTTGAATTTTGAAAGCCAGTGGCTTCATTTTATGCTGCATGAGTTATCAGTACTTTTGCTACTGGCTGCTGAGCTACTGCAACAGGCAACTCTCATGGCAATAGAGGGCACAAGTCTGGCTAAGGCCTCAGTCCTGAACACTTACGAAGAAGTTATCCCATAGAGCTCTGCAGAACTCATAAGTGAAAACATGCTTAGGATCATGCTGCAGGTCAACACATTCAGTTATCCTTCTATTACCAGGTAGGAAGTGATTTTTAAAAATGTTTTCCAAAGATTGATTTTCCATTTTTGGCCAGCATTTGATATTTGCCATTCTAATAAGAGATGCAGTTTCATTGTCATTCATAAATACAAAATTTATTGGCATGTCCTTAGTTTAGAATGACAATGTTTTCGATACCACAACAAACATTTAGGACACATCAAGTTATTCAAATACGCAGCTACTGGTTTACCACAGCTAAACTATACAGTGCAGTTTTAATAAAAGATATACCAAAAAGATATAATTCACAAATTCATTCAGACAAAAACAAAAAACCCTTTAACACAGCATATTTGAAAGGAATACACGCATCTATTAGAAAAAGTATATTTTAACAAAACTTATCTCATTTTTTCAGACAAATAAACATCTATTCCTCATCAGGAAATGTCCTAAAAATGATTTTTTAAAAATTCATCTAGGACAGCAGCAATGCCTTTTATATCTTTTTTTAAAATAAATTGCAAATATATCTCTGCTTTATACAGAATCTGACTGCTAATTTATACTTGGGGAAAACTGACTGAGCAAGTTGACAATTTGACCTTTAAAAACTGCGCAGAATGCAGTGCATCACTACACACTCACACAAACAACCTAGCATGAAATTTAATAAATAATAAAGAACCGCTGGAAATAACTATTTGCCGCATGTTCAGGACACAATCCGATGGATTCTGTTGCTATATAATGCCTGTTCATTTCAATGGTAAGCTCCACTGAAATGAATGGAGGGTGCACAGCAGCAGCATTTGGTGGTTTGACTCTCAGTCTGTAATCTGATGCCCCGTACATGGATTTAGGCGCCAGTAACAAAGTAGAACTTCTGAGTAATCATGCATAGAATTGTGCTGTCAGTCATCTTAAGATCCTACATCAAACAATTTCTTTTGAGTTTTTGTGGGAAACAAAGCTGCTTAAGAAATCTTTATACATGTAAGTCTAAACTGTAAAAATTATCTTTAAAAAAAAGCTAGCAAAGCACCATATACTAGAAGAGATTCTGTTTATATCAAGGACTATTACAACATTTATGTTCAGAATAAGTAATGTACGCATTTAATTTCTTACATCCTAGGTTTGGGAGTGCCGTATTTCTCAGCCAATTATACAATATTTATAGTACTGGGAAAGAGGAGTGAAAAACACTTGTGGGAAGGGAAATACTTAACCAGTTATAGCTGAATCCTACCCAGGTTTGCATATTTGCATATTTACAAATTAGTGTATAGCTCTGACTCTGAATCAAAGTGCAACAAAGAACTGCCACATGATTGTAGTGCAGAGTAGTCAGGTGCTTTTTTCCTTCTTTCCTTCCCCTGGACAAAGCAGCAAGTCAGCAACAACGAACATGAGGTCTTGGAGGAGGCAGTTCTGGTGGAATTTCTGGCTCTGGTTGTAGAGACAGGATACTGTTGGACAATTCATTCCTTATTACATCCAAAGGCATCTTAAAATGAAAAAAAGCCTAATGTAAGCAATATCCTGTGTACAATCTACAGATACTAAAGACACTTACATCTACAGGATAACACTGCCAGCATAACCTAGCCTAAATTCCTATCTTGGCAAGCAGTCAAGTCTAAATCAGTAAGGTAAAGAAGGACATACAAATGTCTTATTTCATACTTAACACATACAAAACTATGCTGTATGTTGTGAGCCGCCCCGAGGTTTTGTTGCGATGGGGGCGGCATAGAAATGTTTTAAATAAATAAATAAATATCAACAAGGTGTGCAACCAGATGTACTCTGGTAATGGAAGAATTTGTAATGAATGTCATATACAGCAAACAAGACTTTAAATAGTCAAATTTCTAAGGCTGCAATCCTATATAAACTTACCTAGCAATAAATCTCACTGAATTAAATGAGGCCTGCATCTCTGTAAATATGCATAGGATCATACTGCATATCTCATTTATTTGCATGTTACCTTTCTTAGGATGTCATCAACTAATTTCAGGAATATTTCATCCACATTAAAATTGTCCTTGGCACTAGCTTCACAAAACCGCATCCCAGTTATCTGCTGTGCAAACTGATAGGAAAAATAAAGAAGTCAATAAATTTCTGGCCTTTCTCAATGACATTTAATTTGATCAAAATTATACAGAGGGCCATAAGCTAAATTAGTGGTTTGATTTATTTGCCTATACGTTTCTATGAAAGTATGCAGCAGTAAGACATAAATACACAACAGAAATGCAAAATATTCTCAGCAGTTAATGTAAACATTTTGGGTGCTGTCCAACCCTACCCCAACACCAGCAGGTCTCACCACTAGTGTAATGGGAAGCCAACAGCTTCTAAAGCAACTGGAAACCAGTAAGCCAAAACATCACTCTAGAAACTAGCCTTTCAGCTCATTTCAGGGGTTGTCATGAACTATGTGAGATACAGCAGGGGAGGAGGGGAAGAGGAGACAGGAAGCTGTATTTCTGTCAACTTACTTAAGTTAACTTGGATCTTGACACAGAAGCCATACATTTGATTTTTAATGATCCAGCTTACACACTGTTGCACTTCCTAAATATGTTTTTAAAAAGCTTTTTATAATATTATATAAGCATGCCCTGCCTCTGCCAAACAAGATGGGGGCTCTAATGACTTTTGGATTCTTCGGGTATTTATCATTCTTAGAATCAATTATTGAAATTCTATGTATCTGAGTAGCTATTTAGCTTTTCTCTGACTCCTCTCTGCAAACAAATAGGACTAGGGCTAGGCCAAAAAAATCAGCTTGTCCAACTATCTGCTCTTATGACACTGAAGGTGATTCCTATATACCTTGACTGCTAAAAACGGTAAAAGCTGACTGCTGTTTGCAGATGCAATCTAAATGAAAGGTGTTGGGCCATTTGTAGATATGAGCACAGACAAGTTGTCCTCTGGATTTTTCTTGGTCTTCCTAAACACACTAGAGTTTGTAATATTTATTACATATGTGCCTTTTTTTTCCTTTCAAAGAACTCAAGGTGGCTTACATAATTCTCCTCCTCCTACTCTAAATCTTATTCTCACAATAACCCTATGAGGTAGTTTGGGCTGAGAGTTTGTGACTGGCCCAAAGGGGATGGCAGAGAGGGGACTAGAGCCCAGATCCCCTCAGTCCCAGTTCTGCACTCTTAACTACTACGCTGCACTGGCTTTTAGAATGGATTACAACAAATGGAACTCAAGATCCAGGCAAGTGTCTTTTGGATAGATCAATCTGATGGTGTTGGGTTTTTTGATCAGCTATACAGACCTGGCTTATACAGTAAAACAACCTACCATGACTGGTTATCATGTCATATGAACACACACAGTTTTTCTCAGGCTGGCATGTTTTAAGAAGACATGGCCAGCACTGGGGTTTGTTTCACCTATGGGAGACTGGCATTCAAAAGCATAGAATCATCACTTGTAGGCAACAATCAACTCAGCCAAACAGCAGCAAAAGAAAAAATCCATTATCACTCTTGCCCGAGCCACAGCTGATGCCAGCCACACCACTGAAGCCCATGCATGTGACTCTCCAATGTGCTACCTTGAGGCACAATGAGGTCTGCCAGTCCCCAAACTGTGAATCTCCACAACCTCTGCAAGTATCATTATACACGATCTGCTCAGCTCTAGTTTTACTTCAAATTGCCACATTTTAGCCAAGTTTGTATGGAAGACTGATCTGTCACCTTCATGTGGCAGCCTCCATGATTTAGGTAATCCACCAGTTCCAATTCAAATGATTGTAATTATGCAAATTAGCAATGGATGGACATTTAATTTCTATCTGGGAACACCACTGTATAGCAACAATACAAATTTCATGAATTCAGCCATATTTTTCTTGAAAGTCATCTTTGCAGGGCCTGATGAAAAGCTGAATGATACGGATGAATGGCATGTAAATAAATGAAAACAGATGTTTGAATTTGTACATTAAAATTAGATAAATGGTAGGCAACTTCTTGGATTTAATAAAATAAGGGTAAGAGTAAATTATAAATAAAAGGCTTTCAAGTTATTAAAAGTTAACTAAGTATAAAGTTAAGATCAAAACACACTACATGTTCAGTGTAACCTTCTCTCTTCAAAGAAAGTCTGTAAGTGATGTTATATAATTTGATCTTCACCTACTTTTTCCCCCTGTTGCCGACTAATCTCTCTGTCCACTTCACAGTCTAATTTATTTCCAACCAGTAGAAGCTCAGCATCTTCTGAGGCATACTGGGAATGAAAAACAAACAAAAAGCACAGCATGGCCTATGTCACTAGTTGAAGCCTTTAGACTTTAAATTTCATACAGATCAAAATTACATTATATGGTCAATACAATCACTGTTATTTTTGCTGCTAAACTACACATACATGTCATCATGAATTACTGCTCTTTCATTTGAGAGCTGCTGATCCATTTGAAACAAATATTGCAAAATAATGTCAGAATGGAATATACCATCTCGGTACAGCTGAGTGTCCACAAGGCCCATAAATTCTTCTGAACATTCCTTAGAAGACACCTTGAGTGTCTAACACTCAAAAGTATACAATGACAAAATGAGAGAATTCTATAGAGCTGCACTGGCACAATGAAATTTAACTTCAGGTCCAGTTTAAATATCAAAGTCAGAACTGCTTATTTTGAGAAAGCAAAGCTTACCTTATCAATCATTTTCATCCATTTTGGCAAATCATCAAATGTCTCCTTCTTCGTGATATCATACACCAATATAATTCCCTTGGCACTTCTGTAATAAGCTGAGGTAATGCTGTTGAATCTTTCCTGACCTGCTGTGTCCCTAAGAAGCAGCACCAAATATTGGTACAAATATTTTATCACTTCACAAAGCATCAGAAATTTCTACTGAAAGAAAGACCAAGTATTAAATCTGCATATTTCCCTACTGAGCAGGAAAGAATAATTACACATCCTATGTGATGCTTGCCTAAACAAAATAGGTAAATTCCCAAGGAGAAAAGCAGTCCTTGGTAGGATTTTTAAAAGTGTAAAGCGGCTTATTATTATATATATGTATGACATACATACACACTTTTAGCAAGTACCTTCACCTGTAAGCATGAATTCATACAAGATGATTCAGTGTGGCTATGAACTCAAACAGTGCAAATGAACTTGTGAAGCTCATAATCACTGGGCCCAGGAGTCTAAACACTCTGTTCTAAGACCCCAGTAATGCTCCTAGAAAGATTGTATTATGCATGCCAAGATGAGGGCAGAACAATATGCTGTTCCTAGAGTCCAAGGTCCTTAGGGAGAGGGAAGTAGTGATTCCAGTTAGAAATGGCAGGCACAGTGAAAAACACTTCCTCATCTCACCTCTTTCAATGAAATGACCAGACCAGGTCTTTTTATCCACAGCACTACCAATTGACCAGAAAAATGCACTGAGCAGATTTTTCATGTTCCAATCTATTAAAGTCATATATCTCAATGCTAAACATATGAATCCATAATTAAGTCCTACTGGGTTCAGTGAGGACCTTTAAGCAAATATGTGATCATGCAGACAGGTTTTCAGGGTGACTTCTTGGAGGAAGCAGATATGTTTGCAGAATATCTAGAATTCAGACAAGTTGAGATGCTTAAAAGCCTTTGCAACTGTTATATCTGTGTAAAAAGTGCATACCACATTTGCCCAGGTAACAAGAGATTTTGCAAAAAGTATAGAAAGAGAATAGCAGGCTTTCAGTTTACTATGCTGCCTTCAGTTTGTCAAGGAATACAACTAGCAGAAAAGCCTCCTTTCTATAAGCAATATTACAATGTTCCAGTTAAGGATAACTCTGCCACAGTGACACTGTAACTGCACGGACTTCAGTAAAAAGGGACAACTGTGGAGAGAATCCATTGCTCCTAGTAAATACTATGTATTTTTTCCTTATTTAAACAGGTTAAAGCAGCAAAGAACCAAATACATTTTCTTCCCACTAGTGCAGGTAGAACTAGATCTCATGGCCTGCAGCTACCTAGAAAATGGGAGGTGAAGGGCCAGTGGCAAAGACCACCACAATCAGCAGCTAGACCGGCATGCTCATTCTGAAGTCCAAAGGGCTGAAACTCTCCCTGTGCAGCCTGCCAGGCACATAAGTAGTTTCAGATGTTCATTTTATTGCTTTTACTTTAAAAATAGATCATCATTTTCTACAACAGACTACCAAGTAAATCTGTTTAGCACTGGGGCAGAAGAAAAATCTATTTTATTCCTGTAGTCATTATGGTGTTATGATTTAAGTGCATTTAAAATGTGAAATGGCATATGCTCAGAGTATTTCTTTTTTTATCAGGTTTTGCTTTCTCATTTTATTTTGCTAAAATATATGAAGAATGAAGAGGCACTGTGAAGCATGGAATGGCAGATGGTGAAGGAAGAGGATAATAATGTCATTTATGGGCTTCACAATTAAAGTAATAAACATGGTCATCTAATGGAACACCCCTTTCTAGTAAAACCATTGCCTAACTCTACCTCTGCCTTCTCCAGATTATCAGAATAACTGCAACAAAGCACTTTATGCAAACTGTATTTGGCAATATTGTATTTTGCCTTCTACACATCAAATTTTGTCACTCTTGGAATGAAAGCATGAATGAATGAACTGGCAAAGGGAAGGGCAGCGTGATGTGGCTCTGAATGCAGAGAACACAGAGGTGAATCACCTACATTAAAACCTTCATTTCCCTCCCTTTCCTAATGGCCCCTTTTCTGCAGCATGGCCAGGGAGGTCTTCTGCCATTGCAGGATACACATGAACGCTTTAGTTCATCTAGGACACCAGCCTGAACAAGATGCAACTACCAGATACAAAACAAAACACAAAATAAAACTCTACATGGCTTAGACTCTTTACCTTACTTCTGGCACAGTGAAGAGTGCTGTAGCCTGTGAAAAGTATGGCACTCTCTTCCATATTCCACCAAATCCAAACCTGCAAACTGGCTACTCCATGACACTGACTCCAAAAATGTAGGGCACATAGTTTGGAAGCCTCTAAACCTGAAAGTTTTCTGGAGCTGGCAGGACTGGAAGAACAGCAGAGGCTATCTTCACTTCCCCAGCCTTCAATCTCCTGTATGTTTGCTAGACAGGCTTTTCAGCCCATCTAGTGAGGAAATTTTAGAGGAGTTAGGGAAGGAGGCCAGAAAAGGCTCAGGATAATCAGATTTTCCAGTCTCAGATATTGTTTTTCCCACACTAGCTGTGAGGGGGTGGGAATCAGAGCTCTAACTCTCTCTACTGAGGTAGGAACACTGTTTCTGACTTTGGAAGGCATTTTCCCTTCCAAAGTTACAGGGAATTCCTATGATTACTGGGATGCTCGACTATGGCCATACGATTGCTCTTGCCACATGTTTGCTATTATTTAAATTAGAAGGGACTTGGAAAATGGTGAATCAGGATTGCAGGCTTAGCTTTCCTACATACAAAATCACCTCCTCAAAGCTTCACTCCTGAAGCAAAGAGGCCCTTCAGGAGGGTAATTTTATCTGAGACTTTGTTATGTGATTAAAGAGTTAATATGGTCCTGATCACACACCTCAAATGATATTTAAATAACAAAAACCTGTGAAGTTTCAAGGTCTCTCTCTCTCTCTCTCTCTCTCTCTCTCTCTCTCTC